TCCTTAGTCTCCTACTACTATACCTCCGCTTTTCTTCACATTTGAATCCCGCGACCCGTTCCACATTGGTCATACATTCACTCTAATTCCTTTAGCCCCGCATCTAAGTATTGGGATTGAACCAATCGCCACGCCTAAAATAAGACTCGCAGCAGTAGTACTCATGACGAGTCTCGTCATGAAATGCGCATAATGTTCCACAGCTACATCTCGGAGGCCTATTGGAGGATTAGTATACGTCTGACACAAATCGTAGGTACCTTGTTACTCACAGTTCCTCATCCGGGGTATCAAGAATGACTTTCAACGCCGCTTCCTGGTCGTGATGGCGCTGGCCCTTGAAGATCGCCTCCCACTTCCCTTTCGTGACCGTCTTCACAGCACCGGTCAACGTCACCGTTAATCTCTCCCCCAAGCTCTCTTCCTTGCACTTGTTAATCAGGAAGGGATATGCGAAGGTACAAATCCAGTCTACTATCGTACGCTGACAGCAAATGTAATCTTCTCCTCCGTACCGAGGCAATCGATGTTTGTCGGGTCTACAGCCCCAGGGACTGCCCTGGTAGCCGTCATATGGTGTCCGAAAGCGGAGACGTAAGTCACGGAGGTTGTCAAGCTTTTGAAGACAAGAACCCATTGACTCAGAAGCAGTAATCGCGATCGGAGAATAAAGCAGACTAACGCCGAAGAACTCAAACCACTCCACATTCGTGAAGTTCAACTCGATCTTACTCAGATGCTGGTAAGCCATCGCTGGACCTGCCCACGCCTTAATGGCTAGAACGAACAGGTCTGGTGTGAAGAACCGGCTACGCATTCGTACCCAGGCAAAATGGAGGAACTCTTCGCGGATCGTGGAGTTCACCGCCGAAAGCGAGAGACTCGGTTTGTGCACAGGAGGTCGATCTTCCGGCACACGGTTTTCATCCCATGGAGACGCCAACAGTGCCTCACCCTTTACACGCATAAACAAACCGGGGTGATAGCCCAACCCCAGCGTTAGCTGAGCTTCAGATCCGAGCTCTCCGTCGGGCCAGAAGCAGGTGTACTCTTCAGCGGTGCACAAACTGTTCAGCGGATATACTTCACCGCCAAGCGCAACCTTGTAAACCTTCTCCCGTATCTCGGCAGGAAAGTCCTCGAAGCGACGTTTGCTGCCCTTGCTCTTGTACCACTTGAACTGCAAGTGATAGCCAAGGCGACCGAGCCACTCGCGCGACTTGACGTTCTTCGCTAGCCAGTCACCGAAAGATATCCACTTCTTCTTGTATGTCTCGTAGATGTGGACAGTCTCAGCAGTCGGTGGCGAGCCGCTCGGCAAAATGGTAACCCATTTCGCCTGTTTCACACTATCCTTCTCGACGACCTCAAAGTAGTAAGACTTGATATCGAAGAGATTCATATAAGGCGGCCACAGCGGGGGCGCGTCATTGACAGGCCGAATGTTCACCCGCAGAGCGAAAGCAGCGAAATTGCGCTTCTTCGGCGCGATCATCGTGTGGTACATCTCAGCGAGTACGGGGTCATTGAAGTGCCATCCTTTGTTAAACTCGTACGTGGTCTCGTCGGTGAAGCGGCCGACTTGTCCATCGCGTGGACATTGCATCATCTCGAGCGCGCAGGTGATCTTGTCGTTGCGCGCATCGGGGAGGACGCGGTTGTACTTACGAGGACGGTTGTACTTGCGAGGGCGCTTTGCGAGATCGTCGTCGGCTGGAGGATCGAAGATCGCTAGACGGCTTAAGAAGAAGGTCGGTGCTGCTGCGTTGAGCTTTGAGGACTTTACGGGTACGAAGGAAGGCGCTGTGGCGGAGAGCTTTGGGCTCGTTGCCTCCACAGCGGCTTCAAGGAAGTTGTCAGGGTTGTGTCGTTGGGTTGCGGAGTCGAGAGTAGCCATATTCGAGGGAAGATTGTTGTACTCATGTTGCCAGTGCTCGTAAGAGTAATATGGTAGGCCAAAGGAGGTTATTTCGAAGCCGCTCGAGTATTGTTGAACGGGGTAACTGTGATAGCCGACGGGCAAATGCACATGGTAATCCCAATAATGAGATGGTACAAATAATGGTATCCGAGGAAGAGTAGGACTAGCCATGTCGTGTTCGGTACCTGACTGCGAGTGGTAGTCAGGGTCGGAAGGCTCAGCGAAGAGACCAGAAGCAGCCACTTCGGACATCGTGTTGGAGTTGAGGAAGCTGATGGGCCTTGTAGTTGAGTGTGTTTGATAGACTAAGGCTTGATAGACCCGAGCATATGCACAGGGAGGTGATACTAGCGCCAGAGAATAGGAATGGTCTGTGCATTCTGCTGTAGGCAGTAGTAATAGGGAATGGTGTGGCGTATACAGAGGCTTCGTTTTGCTTTCTCCGATTTCTTCCGTGTTAGTTGGGCTACTAAACGTATAGAGCGGCTGGTCAAAATACCTGTTGCATTAGATCATGGCAAAAAACTTTTGCGAAGCCACCTACACGCGATGTTGAAGGCGTGTTTGAAGTCTGTCAGTCTCTCAGGGCGCGATGAAGCATGATGAAGTAACTCAATGATATGTTTCTGGTCTTGGAAGCTAGCTTCGAGTTCCAATGTGGAGAACAGATAAGTGAGTTTCGTGTTCATACTCTTCTCGTTTGATGTGTGCAGATTGCGATCTTAGTCTCTAAAGCTTCACTCTTTCTTCGTCCAGTGAAGAAGCATGATCGATTACGACACCTTCTATCCTATAACCAATTGCTATTCGCGTATGACGATATCGGGTGTACTCCTCCGGTTAATTGATTGAGGTAATCCCGCTTTGCGACGGACCTTTTGGACTGGATGCCTTGGTCTTCCGATATATGATTGACATGCTCCTGGTATTAGCTCGCTCAAGTAGCGTCGTCTTGTTCCTCGCAGTCGAAATTATCAGGCAGAGGTGATTTATGCCATGGATAGTCGGGAATGTGACGGTTACCGTGTCTAGTCTTGCAAGGCGTGCGACAAAAGCATGGAGGTGGGCTATCAATATTGTTAGAAAGTAACCAGGGTGGGAAGCCTTTTGAAGATGAGTAGACGCTTACATATCTGCTGATGGGGTATTCAGAATGGCCGCCTGCTCAGCAGCGTGGTCCATTGCGCCATCCTTGTCCTTTGCAGGCAGCGCGAGGAGTTCATTCCACTTGTCCTTTGTGTCCTTTTTCAGGATCCCACCCAGTCTCACCTTTGGCAGATCCTTTACAAATGGCCAAGCGAATGTCATGATCCAGTCGACCATTGTACGTTGACAACAGACAAAGCTGACCATTATTGACCTATCGACAAGACGCATCCCGTAAGGATAGTAAGCGGCTCCGTCGTCTGGGCTTCGAAACCAAAGCTGAAGACTTGACAGTCCATCCAATGTAGGGAGTATAGGTCCAAGAGACACACCGTTATTCATACTAATGTTGTCACGAAATCCGACGCCGAAGAAACTGAACCAATCGGACATCGTGAAGTCGAGAATGAGATGATTGAGCCAGTTATAGTTCGGTTTGGTACCCGCCTCAAGAACTGATCTGAGCTGAATCGGTGAGAAGAAGCACTTTCGGGTGTCCTCCCAGCCAGCTTGAAGAGCCTCACCATAGGTCTGTCTGTTTATAGACAAGAGGGCAAGATTGGGCTCGTAAGCGGAGCACCCTGTAACTGTGTGCTCACGTCCATACAGCCGTGAGGGGTGGCGCTGATCGATTTGACTGCTGTCATGCCAACTGCGGAAACCCAGGCCGAGACAAACCTCAGCGTCCTTGGATTTAGTCAAAGGATAAATTCGAGGACCGAGAGCAAACTCGAAAATCTTCATGCGCATCTCCGTTGGAAGGTCGGCGAGCCGGAAGTGCTTCCCATTGAGCTCCCAACATATGCGCTGCGCCCTGTAGCCCCTCTCGCCAACCAAGTCTTCAGCTGGCGTCTGGCTGGAGAGCAGCCAGTCTTTTAACAAGATCCATTCTGTACCGATCTTTAAGTGTAGATTATCCTCTGTCGGACCGGGCATTCCTGGGGAAAAGGTTGCCCAAGCGGTGAGGGGAAACTCATTGAATCTATCCATAAAGGTATACAGCTTGCTGCAGTACGTGGTGTAATCGGGCAAAACCAGCCAGAACGGAGGTGAATTGTTGGTAGGTTCTACTCGGAAATGCATGTCTGCGACGCCGATGTGGTCCGCTTCCATGTCGCGAATAAGAAGTGTAATGTACCACATGACTGCGTCGTTCTGGCGAGGAGCTGGTTCGAAGTTGTACGTGTACTTGTTCGGTCCGTAGTTGAGCGATGGTAGTTTATCGAAGGGTGGCGGACAGTATCGTAAGCTGTTGAAGCGGTTGATGGACTCTCCTTTTCCACTATCCGCTATCGCCATGCGTTCCAGAGCGAGTATTCGGGTCTCCAAGTCAGGTATTTCTGACGACATTGTTGGTAGCGTTCGTATGTGGAGGTTGAGGTAGAGGTAGAGGTTGAGGTTGAGGACAAAGATGCTAGTAATGCTGATCCGTGATGCGGGCGCAAGTATTGACAAAAGGAGGGAGGAGTTGGCGAATAAATAGTCCAGTCAGCGCTTAAAGTGAATAAGTCAGTAGGCTCCAAGCAGAGAATCATGTCAAGAGAAGGTGTTGGAAGCCGGAGCTCCTAATGCGGTCAGTGCGCCCATTCTCGCTCGAAGCGCATGATGGAAGTTGCAGGCGCAACCGCCGAGGTTTCCTGACCCTTTTCGTTGAAATGCTTTTTCGTATAGGTATAGTATAGGTCACTCAGATTGCGACTGGATCGGTGATCTCTGAGAGGAAGACCCTGTTATCGTCTCTGGTTTGAGTCGACCAGCCATCACGCAGGCGAGCACACTGAGCAACGCACCGCCAAGGCTACAAAGAACAACAATTACATTGGTCAAGAACGGACGGTGCTCAAGCGGTACGGTAGATGGAGACAAACCCAACTCCCAGAAACGCCTCGCTATACCCATACTCCAAGACTAATTGAGCTGCCTTGCACTATACTCACCACAACAGATAAGCGCCAACGAACAATGAAGCTATGGACAGCCCTTGGCTTCTCAGAGCATGCGCCGCGCTGGTACCCTCTGTGCCACAGCACGACTGCTCGTTGTACGTGACGTTGTTGGCCGTCGCAGCAACCTGGAAGACAGAGCCATTAAAGCTGCCGTAGTTGTAGTAGTCGACGAGTATCCAATTCGGCGGACGATTCCACATTTTCTCGCAGTTTTGTACATTAAGACCAACGCTACCGTTTCCAGACACAGCATTGATCTCATCGAGGAGTGAGTATGCTGGTATGAGGATGCTGCTCACGCCTGGGAGACTGACTTCGATGTTCAGGTTGTGGTTCATCACGTACATGCGCTCGCGTGAGACTTCTTCTGGTTGGTTCGGGGGTCGTTGCTCCGTGCAAGGGAACGCGGGATCGGTCGGCGAAAAGGGTGTTTGCCACTGATAGTTGAATTCGCTGAGCAGCCACGGGACTTGTTCCTGGTCTGCGCCATAGTCCAACATCACCACGACACGCTTAGTCCTAATAATCATCTCGGCCAATGTGGGCCAGTCTGTCAGATTCAGACTAGCCGAAGGCGGTGTCCATACGTATTCCATAATTCCTGAGTTTTGAAAAGGTGCGATATAGTCTGTCGCTGGGTTTCGGGTATCCTGACCGTTGTTGTTGCCCATCATGATAGCAATGACTTCGAATGGGTGTTGGTCGAGCCAGCCTTTGACCGTTGCGAGGTATGATTCGAGGGTACCCACGTCGAGCAGGTTACAGGAGGTATGGCAGAGGCGTATAGCGGAGGTCTCGTTGGGGTTTTGGGTCTCGAACTGCACTGTTGTTGAACGTCAGCCAGAGTTTTCCGGTATCGTGTATGATGCGCTTACACCCTCGAACTCCATCATTGAGCTGATTAAGCACTGGGTAGTCTTGGTTGCTGGCTGCATTGTGCGGCCTCACGAAAGGGCTGTTATGTGCGACGACCATAGAGATGTTGGAAAACCTCCTCTGGCAAAACTCGACGTATCCATTGCAGGGCTGAGTATTAGTCGGACTTGGACGAGCAGTTGTCGTGGTTGTTGAAGCAGTGCCGTTTGAGGATTCAGTCGGAGGAGACAGCCCGACTATGGCTGTCACCTCTTGTGTTGTCGTCGACGAGGTAGCGGTGGCATTCTGCCGTCCGGAGGTAAACGTGCTCAGGACAATGCCCGGGAGACCGCTCGAGAAGTCGGCGGAGTAGGTGCTCGTAAAGGTACTGAAGACATCGACGATCGTTTCGGTAGCGCTGCTAGGTATAGGTGTATTCGATGCGGAGGAAGATGAAGACTGTGCGGTTATAGGTATTGTAAGTAGGACCAAGGGGAAGAAAAACAATGTAGGAATCATGAGGGCGATGCGATGCGATGCGAAAGAATGACGAAGTGCTAGTTAGCATGTGTTGTGCAATATCGGCATACAATCGATGCTATGCGCTGTACTTGTCGAGAGACGAGGTCAAGACAGTCTGCCTTACCAGCACTACGTTGGTGGTGCACCTTAGCTGACATTCGCCGGAAAGCACGATGACGGCATTGCTCGCCTCGAACGCCATCACACGTTGTGTCGGATCTACGCGGGGAAGGCTGAATGCGACCATCTCGAAGGCCTATCCGTCCTGGGGAACGCCTTGCGCGTTAATCGGAGATTTATGGGTCCAATAGCAGACACGCAATGGTTTGACGTAGTAGACATTGACTGCAGTAGGGCTGGCGTTGGCAGCAAGAGTGCTTGTGGCGGTTTTGGCGTACGCGGGTCTCAAGAGCCGCGCCGTGAGGCATTTTGACGCGTCATTAGCCTCCAAGACTGCGAGTCACGACCGATAGGATCGTTGGACGATGAAAAGAGTGCTGGATGCTGATCTCGCTGCGGGCGCATAGAGAAAGGCTGAGGTTAAGTACGCGACATGGAAGACGCCCAGCCTCGCGTGACACGCTAACCCGCTTAAGCTTCAGGGACTGAGGGTCAAGCCTTACGGCCGGGGAGGTCCACCCCAAATGCTTCAGCCCATGAATGCGAGCTTTGGGCCGACTAGGCACACTACTTCCACCGGAGCTCTCGTCGCCTTTTTGCTCTTCAATGTGGTGTTGAGGCATGCACACACGACTCCTGGAAGGCACATGGGCATTTGGAGGGCTCGTTCTAGCCTCAACAACAACGAGCATGCCGGCCGAGCCTACTGAAGACTTTGACATTGGAGACACAAAAATGGACTTTTAACCCGGACAATAATCAACGTTGATTGTCACATGAAAGTCGTGCTTCTTCCTGTCATCATTCTACTGATCCCAACAGCCGTAACGTCGACGCAGGTCCACCTCACATCCCTATTCGCCGCAAACCTCCACCTACCATCTGATCGACGAATAACGCAATGCGCCTTAGACTCACACTAGAAGCCTGAACTTAGTTCGGGCAATCTCTCACACGAACACCCTCTTAACCCCAACCTTAACACAACTCGGCGGATCTAGCAAGAGCAGTCAGCACAGTCCCACCACCCTAACATCAACATCTACCGAAAAAGAAGAAAGCACCAAACTTACCAGGTTTCCCAACCCCTGTCCCCCACACCAAAGTCTGCCTAACATACCCTGTCCCATAGTACGTGAAACAGACCCACCAGCGATAGTACCCCGTCCACTCCCCCACTTCAGGTTTCTCCGCCCCCCAGGTAATTGGATTTTGGAAGTTTAGTATGTCGTTGTTGTCGAAGGAGAGGCTGCCGTCACCACTGTAGGTCATAGCTAGTTGGGCAATGGACAAGGGGACGATGTCTTGGGGTTGGAGGAGCACGGAGAGGTCGATGGGGTAGGGGTCGTAGGGGATGGTCCAGGAGAGGATGCCTTGGGTACCGAAGGTCTGGGCGAGGGGTCAGTGCGTGTGAAGATGATGACTGTGGGTTTGTTTTGGTGGGTGATAGGGCTGATGGGGAAGGTAGGGTAGATGTGTATGAGAGACGTACGTTTGTGATGGCAGTGTCTGTCGTGTTGTGGGTTAAGACAACGGGATACTGGGCCCCTTCTTCTGAAAGCGTGGGGCAAAGCGTGAAAATTGCTGCACCTGCATGGCATGCAGATAGTGTTTTGCCGTTCAGGGAAGGATCTTCGGATAGGAGGACGAGGTTGAAGGGGTTAGATTGTATGGTGTAGATGGGTTCACAATCGTATTCGCAATCAGCGTCAGCGTGAGTGAGAGCTGCGAAAGCGAGAAAGATAGGAACAAGTTTGAACATGACGGCGGTAATCCGGACGGTGCGTACAGGTGCAAATTGAGCCAGAAAGCTAGGAAGAAAGGGCGCTGGCTTATAGATATCCATAGAGGCGACCTTCGATCATATCACAATGACTGGCATCTGTCAGAACGTACACGTGGAGCGGATTGCGCATGTCAAAAGAGTGTCATTATCTATTAGCATTAGTTGCGTAGCACGTCAAGTGGTAAATCCCGCTTGGGTCTTCCTCCATCTCCCCTCTTCTCATCCAACCATTACGGAATAGATTCTTCCATCACAATCTTCCCCTCTAGACAAACACCCTCGTCACATTAACCGAGACACAGGTCGGGTTGTCTGGCTTGCCCGCGCCCAATCCCCATGCTAGGTTGTTGTACCTGTAGCTGGCATAGTCCGTGTCGCAAGCAAACCAGCGGTAGAATTCCTGGTAGTTGCCTGTGTTGTTCTCGCCGCGGACGTAGCCCTGATACGTGAGTTCGTCCTGAGAGTCGAAAGCCAGCATAGTCGTATCGCTTCCGCTTCCGGGACTGAGAGTGATGCCTGCAAGGTTGGAAGTTGGGTCGAGGTTGAAAGCCGCTGATGAGGGAATGTCGAGGGTGGTGGTGTTCAACCACCATGCCAAGATGCCTGGTACGCCGAAGCCGTCTTCTGGTGCTTGAGAGTAGACGGATGTGTTGAATTGGAATTGTGCGCCGTCGAGGGGTTCTGGGCTGTCACCTACGCCAGCATTGCTGAGGCAGAGTGATTCGATGGCTGCACCGACGTGACAGGCGCTTAGCGTGTCATTGACCTTTCCGTCCTCGGATGTGACGACTAGGAAGAATGGTGCAGAGCTGATGTTGTAGAACGGATCCTGTGCGCTCGTAACGGCAGATGCTGCAAGGGTGAGGGCGATGGACGAGGTCTTCATTCTGGATGTTATCGGTTGATCTTATAGGTGGTCGATGCAATGATAAAGTCTGAGGTATGCTAGGCGTTAATCGAGTATGTAGGAGCTGGTGAGTGCAGTTTACCAGCAACGGCACGGTCGAGCTTTATACTCACGATCATCCTTCGTAGTCGCCGTATTCGCGCAGCCTCATCGCAGCTCCCTCCAAAGGTTCCACCTGCGCAGCAGTCATGTGTTCCACCATAACGGGCCCCAGCCAGCCCATGACGTTCCGCTACCCGTTAGCTTTGGTCGCCTTGCCACACCCACGATGATCCTTTCCAGTCGGCTGCGTTCGCTCCGTATGCAGTACCGCACGGCATGCCCGATGAGGGTCAGCGCAACTCAATCAGGGCAGTTATAGATCAACCCCGCGCGTTAGCGAGCGAAACTTTCCCCAGCCTGCCGGATAAGTCTTGCATAAGTGCCACAAGTGCCACAGCCGCACAGGGCCTCAGGGTGCATGTAGCGTGAGGATCAGCTGTCAATACGAGGGTCGAATCGATAGCTCAGTACCGAACCTGCAGGTGAAAAAAGTAAAGGCGCGGCGAAAAAGCTGTGTTCGTGAGCGTGAGCAATATGAGAGGCATCATAAGCACTGCTTTGGAAGGCTGATTAAGCCTAGTACGAGGTCGTATATGACCTTGCTCGTGATGTGCTGATGCATTCAATATTGTGTTAATTGTGCACCCTCGTACGATGAAGATGGTGGAGAGTAGTACGCTGCTCTCCGTCAATGACGCAAGGGTTCAGGCCGGTTGTAAGCCGGAGTTACCTGTTAGCGCCAAAGCTTATCGATTCTAAACTCGCCGGAGGTGTGACATCGTCCATGGCTTCAGATTTACACCCTCACACCAACTACGAGATGAATGGCTGTGATCGGGATACTGCCTTTGCGATGGTCGCCTTGATTCACTGCGCTTCCGCCAGCACCTTCCGCATACGAACTGACCGGTCGCAACACCTAATAATATACAGAGCGCCGGACGCGTAGAATACTAAGAACAGAGCTACGAAGCCATTCTCGAGCCACCGCTGCAACTCTATACTCCTAGGGTGAGGTAAGAGCTTACGGTTCCACACTACAAACCGTATGTATGTTTGAGGACCTTATTCCATCTACATCAGAGCGCTGACTGACGACGGACCCAGTATCGCAATAGCCCTCTCAACCGCCTATGATGTAACCACGAGTTCCGCACTCCTCCTCGTATGCCCGCAACACGCAGCTTCGTCATGTGGCCAACTCCGGCAACCGATAGGCCACTACACTAGCGATGTCTTGCTCCGCCATCATATCCACTGGCACCCAGCGCAGTGACCGGCTCGTCGTCAGCATGTGCGCTCCTCCTCTCGGCCGAGTCCCGCGATACACCCTCATAAGCAGGTTTTGCTTGCGTCCAGTACCAACAGGCCCATGTGATCCAGCAGAAGATGACATCGAATCCCACGCTGCTCACTGCTGGGTGTTCTAGCAGAGCACTTTGGATTCCCACAAAACCACCATAGGCATACGCTGTTGCGGTAGTCCATGCCAGCATCAGTCCGGCATTCCCTAGGACCAGTGCCCACATGTAGCTGTAGACCTTGTCGGTGAATTGGATATCCTCGATAAACGATGAGGCCGGTACAACAGCGCGTGCTATGGGCAAGAGCATCAAAGCGATGTGTGGAGCCATGAGCACCGGCATGAAGTGTGTAGGGTGATGCCAGTAGTGTTCATCTGCTAGTTGCATCGCGGGATAAGCAGTTGCGAAGATGGCGAAGAGGTTGAGAAGCCATGGGCCTAGCCACGTCTGCCGACGTGAACCAGATGATTGAGGTGGTGTTGGCGGGCTCAGGAGTAAGGTGAGCATGAAGAGGTTTGTAGCAAAGCTGATGGCCACAATCTGGCCAAGCAGCATGAATGCCCAGGTATATCGAATGCCGCGACGTATTCCTAGATATGTTAGTCCTGTTTATCAAATAACACAATCACTTTCATACCTTTCTGCTCCAGATACAATCCCAGACCCAATGCGAAGAAGAAGATCTGGTGTGACCACCAGTACCTCGCATATCCGATGATGACAGTCTCCCATGCCTCTCGAAACAGCGAAGTCTCTTTCAACCACAACCCCCAGTGATTCTGGTCAGGTTCAAGCTCGTAGTAGCTACGCCACATCAGCCAAGACTGATAGCTGACCTTGAAGTACTGGAACATGTGCGTCCATGTAGTGAGCAAGCTGCCCGCAGCAAGTGCACTGAATAGCCAGACATGTCTTCTTGGTGGGAGCTGTGCGGTAGTTGACTTTCGCAGCACACTTGCTCTTTTGACGAGCCTCAGGATGATGAAGACCGCGACAGAGAAGCATGTCAACAGATAGGAAAAGAAGATGGCATATGGCCGGGTGTTGGTATCGGACCCTTCTGGGGGCGGTTCGCGATGCATGGAGCGGTGCGGGACAGAGTATCCAGGCGGCCCGAATCCTGGAGGGGCCATCGTGAGACGATTTTCGGGGTTTGTTGGGCAGCCATCACGTACAGTATGCTCTCCAGCTTTTATGGTGCCCTCGACAGTGACGAAACGTGGCAAGTGCGGATCAAAGGGCTCTTCTGCTTTGCCGGCAATGTGTATTGATTAACGGCTATCTTGGGACTGAGCTCCTAGGATGCGGCCGCGGTCGGTTGTTGCGCCAATGATGGCGTGGCTGACGCAGGGATGGCCAACCTCCGCAACACGTGCCCAGGTGCCTCGGTGCCAAGGCGCCAGTGAGATCGTCATGTTTTCCCAGGTCCGTCGCGGTCTCGTCTTCGAAGATTCTCGTCCCTTGTTTTGCTTCAAGTAGCTGTCCTCCCCTGTGCTAACCTTCGCTGTTGCTTTCTCGCACATTCTCCTACTCTGTCACGACAAACTGCAAACGCCAAACCTCACAACACGGTGATGTCAGGCACACGGACCATTTGAGCTTTGCAAACCCTGATTGGCTGTTGTTTCATCATTTGGACCTCACCGCCACGCCCAAGCTACCAGACGCCCAAGTTGCGTAGCTCCGTCGATATTTTCCAGTCATCTACTGTGGTGTTTGAACATTCATTGAAGCTGTCGCCGCGATGACCGATACACCGCAGACCACGGCGGGTGCCAACCCCAAGGAAGCCAGGGTCCTAGAGCAGCATCTAGACCCGAGCTTCGACTTCTCAGAGTTTGACCCAGCGACGCCAGCGGCAGAGGAGGGCGCAGATAACGCCTCCAACTCGGGCGACCGCCAGCTTCCGGAATCTTCGTTGCGGTTACAGGGTGGCGACATCCACCGCGACCTGTACAAGATTGCGGCACAGAACAGACGGCAAAAGTTGCACCAACGAGCAGCAACCTTTTCTGATGCAGTTCACTTTGGCCGCAACCCTGCTCCGTCAATTTCAGACGTTGACCATGACGAACTACCCGTTCGCGACCAGCTTGCGCCCGGCGGCCTGAGACGCCAATACTTACAACGGCAGAGCAAGCGTGTCAGCTACATCTCGGAGCCTGTTACGCGAAACTTCATCTCGTTCCTTGAACTGTATGGCCAATTCGCTGGTGAAGATCTTGATGAAGATTCGTCGGATGCGGAATCTGCCGTTGAAGAGGAAGATGAGGGGCAAGGCGAGCGGAGACCACTTCTCGGACGCCGACAGAGCTCGAAGAGACTGAGGGCTCAGGGCGATGCGGACCAAGTCAAGACCTTCTTTACGCTCCTAAAGGCGTTCATCGGCACCGGAATCATGTTCTTGCCCAAGGCCTTCAAGAACGGCGGCATGCTGTTTTCGTCGATCACCATGATCATGGTTTCTGCCATTACAGCGCTGTGCTTCGAGTTGCTGCTGGTGACAAGAAAGAGGTACGGTGGTGGTGGTTACGGTGACCTGGGTTCTATCGTTGTGGGACCGAGATTCCGTGCCCTCATCCTGGTCTCCATTACGCTCTCGCAAATCGGCTTCGTATGCGCTGGTCTCATTTTCACCGCGGACAACCTTAGATCGTTCCTGGATGCTGTCACTCACGCCGAGGAGCCCCTCTCAACCAATGCGCTCATCGGTATCCAGATCGCTGTTCTGATACCCATGTCCTTCATCCGAAACATCTCCAAGCTCGGACCTGCCGCCCTTCTCGCCGATGTCTTCATCCTCATCGGCCTGACGTACATCTACTGGTACGATATCTCATCGATCTCCAAGATGGGCGGTTTCAACCCGTCTATCGAACTCTTCAACCCCCGCGACTTTACTCTGACTATCGGTTCCGCCATCTTCACCTTCGAGGGCATTGGCCTGATCCTTCCCATCCAATCCAGCATGAAGGAGCCTGAGCACTTCAGCAAGCTCCTCTACATCGTCATGCTCATCATCACCGTCATTTTCACGTCCGTCGGTGTGCTTTGCTACGGAACCTTTGGAGAGAACGTCTCCGTCGAGGTCATCACCAACTTCCCCCAGACCAGCAAGCTCGTCAACGCCGTCCAGTTCCTCTACTCCATGGCCGTTCTTGTCGGCACACCGGTGCAACTCTTCCCCGCCATGCGTAACATTGAGCTCAAGATCTTTGGTCGCGCATCCGGCAAGCAGAGCAACATGACCAAGTGGAAGAAGAACGCCTTCAGGACGTGTCTCGTCATTCTTTGCGGTGCCATTGCTATCCTTGGAGCTAGCGACCTCGATAAGTTCGTCGCGCTTATTGGAAGCTTTGCCTGTGTGCCTCTTGTGTACATCTACCCTGCCTACCTGCACTACAAGGGTGTCGCCAACCGTCCTTGGGAGAAGTTCGGTGACATTTCCATGATGGTTATCGGTGTCGTCGCCATGGTGTACACCACCAGTATCACACTCGCTAGGTGGTCTGAGACCTAAGAAGAGAAAGAAAGGTGGTTGGAAGAGTACAGAAAAGTCCCTTTACAGTACGGTGGAAGCAGCGTCACTATTGCATAATTTGTTTCTCGCACGGCGTTCAGGTGGATCGGTGAATGGGATGTCTTTGTATGGTGGTTTTAACGCGCGCATGTTACAGTTACGTGTAACGATAATGGCATACTAGTACGAACTCGTCTTCTCGCACCTCTGTGATGAGCTCTACAGCTCAGTTACCTCGCTTCCCCTTCTCACGAGCGTCTTACTACTGATTAACATTGAACGCCTCTTGCAACCTACGCCAGAAAGGGAACGCTTCTCTCGATACCCATAAGTCAAGAAGGCAAATAATGACACAAGCTGCCTTAAACAGCCAGAGAAGCCAGCCGGAGATGTCGCAAAGGTACCGCCAGGCGACGATCATTACCATGTCCATTAGTGTCATATCAACATCATCAGGCTCAACAACACCCAGCCATGCATTGCGAGCCTCTATCTCCTCTCTCGTCATCCTCCTCTTAACTGCCGCTTCCGCCTTCTCTTCCTCCCTAATACTCCTCTCTTCTTCCCTCTCTACACCCCGCCAATACTCCGCCAAATCTTCTAATCCTTCTCTCTTTATCTCAAACCACTTTGTCCGACACAGTGGACATTTGTTGCTATTCGGCATTCCCGATGCGAGCGATTTCCGAAGGCACTGATAGCCGAAGACGTGGTCAACGCAATGCGGTGTGTTGGTGATGAGAACGGGTGCGTGGGAGCCGTGGAACGGGTCTTGGCAAATCCCGCATATCGTGCCTGGGGTGGGATAGAGGGGGTGTGAAGGCAGGAGCGGGAGGAGGTTGCTGGCGAGGAAGGTGGGTAGGGTGGTTGTGGAGGTTTGGAATAGTGTAGGAGGTACAGTACGCCTACGCTGACCTGGGTTGGTTCTTGGTATTGGGGTAGGGTCGAGGAGTGTTGCGGTGACGGAAGGGGGGAAGAGTTCGGTTAATGATGGGGAGTGATAATCTTCTGGTAGCGCTGTGGATTCTGGTTGGACCGGAGAGCTGGCTGGTTGTTGTATGGGAGAAGACGGGTGGTATAGATGGTTTGGGTCTATTTCTGGGAGGCGGTCGCGCCTGCCTCCTGGATAGAGATCAAGTGGTGAGATTCTCTCGTGATGGATCCAGTAGGGGCGGGTGGTTGGATGGCTTTCGCCTGTTTGGGGAGGGGGAGGAGAAGACATGTTCGCAGGTTCGATGGTTGAGCGCTGTGGTTGCGGTGAGTGATGGTCATAGACATTCTTTACGTTGAAATATGTTCACTAGTGAGTGCAAATGGGCGATGGAATATATAACTGCATGGAGAGATCTAGTCGGCCGGCTCGTGCACTGGCTTTCATTGCTTTGGCCTATTGCCTACTTCACCGTACTACAGACCCCTCTCGAGTGATGAGAGCCTGCAGTTGAAGATTCACCTCAAGCTAATCTAAGGTTACCACGTGAGCCGAGAAAGAGAGGTACCCAAGAAGCCAGCTACACACATCTAAACCGCGTTCTTCTCCACTTCTGCTCTCGGATCATCGACAACCTCCCACTCATCGTCCGCGTCGACCTTGTCCCATTCCTCTTCATCCGAGTCCAAGTTCAGTGTCTCGAACTCTTCCTCGAGAACCTTCTCTTCAGGGGCCTTGGACTTATCTATAGCCAACACCTTATCCACCTTGTCACTGGCAGCGAGATCCATTTGCACGGAAGCGAGGTTCTCGACTGCGAAACGCGATTTGATAGGTTTTGTGGTTGTCTGGCTCCTGACGGGCAACTGAGTCCTCCTACTTCCCACATCAGAGGGGTTGAGGGAGTATGTCGGCACATCGCGTTTGACAGGTGTCGTTAGGGTTGTGCTAGTCGCCGGTCGCGCACCAACCTTGCTCTGAGCGCGCTCCACTTTCCTAGTAGAGGTGTCCGTCTGTGGTCCATTCCTGAGCATCTCCAAAAGCTCGGGGAAGGAGAGTCCAACATTGCCCATATCCGCGACCATTGTCTCGATCTCTGCGTCAGTGTATTTTCGCTGGCGAAGATCACGGATAGTTGCCAGGCGTGCTCTGAGGCCTGGTGAGCTGTCGAGTTGTGTTGATTCGTAGCCAGAAGCCCGAGATATGGTTTTTCCTGGGGCCTTTATCCCGGCATCCGAGGCCAATTTGGGTGAATTGTAGACATTAGGCTGGTAAACTGGAGGCTCGTAAACTGTAGGCTTGAGAACTCTAGACTTGAGAGGTGTAGGCTCTCCGAAGACTGGCGGCTTATGTCTGTCACCAAGACTTCGAATTGGTAACGTAGTCCTTGATGTATCTTTGGAGGCGGAAGAAGGAGTACTGAAATCGGGATTTGCGTGAGCAAGCTTGGCGAGATGAGATCCATGTACCTCTCCCGTCTCCTGATTGATGGGCGTGATCGTTTTCGCGGAGGTATTGGTACTATTTGAGGAGGTATAGCCCCATGGCCAGGGCTGTGTGAGCCCGGGGAACCTTGCTTGGTCTGAAGTGCCGTCATGGTTGACAGTCATGCCCGCCGGAGCATGGGACATTGGGAACAAAGGAGGCTGGTCGGGCGTGGATACAGCTCCTGGTGGTTTTGTGGTTGATGCAGGCCGCGCTGACCGTAATGATCGTGGTGGCTGTTTTGTTAACCATGATGACCCTGGTGATAGCGGTGCCTGTGATGGCAGTGGTGACAGTGATGGCAGTGATGGCAGGAATGGCGGGGATGCCATGAATGAACCTAGTCGCGATTCGGGAGAAGACTGCACTGCGTTGCGAAGCTCGTGCTCCCTGGGTTGTCGTATCGGTTGGCGGTGAGAGACAAGAGATTGTCCAGCTGTGGAGGAAGTACGCACGAGAGGTCGATATGTTGACGGAGGTCTATTCCAAGGGTGCTCTGGGTCATGGGAGCGTCGTATGGTAAGCGACGAGTAGCTGGGAGGGTCATCACAGTTGAGCATTTCCCGCCTGCGCCGAGAAGGATTATTGGGAAGACTGTCTTCCGTCGGACTTTCGCAGCCCCATGTAGTTTCCTGCATGCGCCCAAGAAGAGGAGGATTGTTATAAGGATTGTCGTCCGCCGGAATTCTGGGGTCTCTTGAAGGAGACATGATCTCAGAGGTAGATGAGAGGTGGTGAGTAGCGTGGATGTGTAGGGGTGACAGAAGTGGAACTCTGATGGCGGAAGTGCTGCTTTCAAGTAAAAGCTTTTTTGAAGTGAAATACGACCAGAGCAACCAAGGAAAGGATATGTGCGACAATGTGGCCGAGAGGGGCGTGGGAGGCAGCAAATAACCACGGACCAGCGCAGTTGACAAGCGGTGCACCGTAGGGGTTTGGCTCAAGGTCAGTATTTCGTGTCATTCTCTGGTTCAGAGGGGCGAGGAGCCACTGGTACCTCCCAACCCCATGCCGATTATCGTTCTCCTCGTTTCAATTGGACCTTGTATACGTACGCATGACTACAAGACCTGAACGCTCCAGTGGAGCTCTTTGATTGCACACCGAAGTAAACGCGCTCTTGAGGTCTACTTGGGCGCGCTCCATGCAGCGACGGCACTCCCAAGTATGTGGCTGGATAGCTCACTTCCATCCTTGAGCGCGAATACCGAAGGACGCGATGAGTACAAGGAGTGAAGGTAGCTAATCGATAGGCCGAAGCAAAGAAGTAGCGACAAAGACAGCCAGGTGGTCAGTGTTCAACGGCTACAGCGATCGTTTGGCGGGCCTTTGCCGCGTGCTATACTTAGCCACCACCACCAACACAAATAAGACAGGGCTTAAACATGCGATATCTCGAGTAATGATAGCAAGGCTAATTAGTCAGAGAGGATGCAACGCGGTGCACCATGGTGAGCGATGATGCAGGTGTCGTCCCAAAAGGGAGAGGCGGGCTTGGCAACGCTATGGCCAGCGCGATGGGCGGCCCACTCGATTGTTTGGATTCGTCCCGCGTCACAACATTCAAGGTCCAACACCCCAACGCCCCGACGACGACCTCCCCCGGACTGCCCTTTTGCCTTTGGCGTTGATATACACGGCTGAATTGCTTCGAGACGACATGCTCAGCTAACCTAGACGACACCTGACCTTTATCCGGAACGCGACTGCCAGCACCGCGACGCGCCCAACCACCCGCACGTACTTCTACCTCACACATTCGCCATGGCTGCCCGCACAAAGGCACCCACTGTAGGGTCCGCTGGATGGATCCTCGAGGAGCGCCATCAATCCAACACGCTTGTATCCCAAGAATTGGAGGATTTTGGCTTCTCTGTGCGCAACGAGCTGGAATGGCTCAACGAGCACATGTTCGACATTTTGGCCAGCGACAGACCGTATGTTCCGTCTACCTTGCGTAAACACGCGCCAGACTGACTCTCCGGTAGACACAACCTCGATGTCTTCAAGACACCCGGCAAATTACGCGGCAAGACGCCTCGCACCGCGCGAAAGAAGGCGGTCGATCGCCAGGTAAGAGTTTGCGCGTCGCCTTCCATCCCATACTAACATCAGCCAGCCTCTTGCCAGTATCAAGTCTGCGAACGCGCAAAATCGCACAAGCGCCGCCGAAGAGAGTCTACGAAACGTGAAGGCTAGATTCCAGATCGCCGAAGACGCAGAGAACACGGTTCGCCAATCGCCTACCGTCGCCCGTACGCCCATCGCGCGACAGCTGTTTACTAAGCCCGAGAGCGCCGGCAAGGAGAACGTTGACACTAGCTTCCAAGCGAACGTATTCGATAAGCGCCCAGCACAGCCTCTTGCACCAGCATGGAACCCTGTCCAGTCCTCGCAAGAGACAGTAATGACTTCAGAAGCCAGCGAGGTCTTCTCACCGCCACAAAGCTTCTCAACACAACCCACACAGCCCACTCAATCCTTCCGTCAATCGATACACGATAAGGAAGAAGACCGCGACACTGGCGATTCTTTCGTTTCAGCGAATGAGGCTTTCGCGAGCAAGAATGCCTCGCGCGAAGCTTCGCGCGCCAAGGACGCGGATGCCGATGCGATGGAAGTGGATGACGAATACAAGGCCGACCGCTCGCGATCTGATGCCGATGGTACAATGATTCACCACGACCTTTCTGACGCGGAGGATCACAGCATGGAGGATATGGAGGACTTCCCAGAGCCACCACGCGTAGTTTCCGAACAGTACAGCATCTCCGCCGAGACCCACGACGCGCTTGACACCGCGAACAACCGCGCCCTGGCGCCCGAGCCAAAGAACATCTACGCGCCCGACCACTCGACTACGCCCTCGGGCCCGCCGCCTGCGTCCCCAGAAGTCGAGCACAACGATACCCTCATTCATCATGATATCGATGATCAAATGGACATGGACGATGATGTGCGCTCCCCTTCAGACAACTCCAGCCCTGTAAAGCCGCTCGTTAGGAAAAGCAGTCTTACCTTTGCTTCCCTTCCCGCACGCGAGCCATTGCTCCCGAAGAAGAGCATGGGCAACCGAGTGTCGCGCATCAGTCACATCGACCAGAGCAAAGCCCGCAACAGCCAGATGGGCAGATTCACAGGAGGAAAGAGTCTGGGAGGCTCGCAGCTCGCGCATCCTGCGGAGATACAACACGCCGATGACTCGGATGTGGATATGGAACGCCCGGAGCTTCAGCGAGAGGAATCGGAGACAACCAAGGTTCACAACAAGACCTCGACTCAGCGTCTATTCGAGCGAATCAACATGCTCAAGCAGCAGAACGAAGCGCCGAAGCGCATTAGCCAGAACATCACATCTGCGCAGTCGCAGCCTCAGGAACCCACACAAGCAAAGGAAGAAGTGGCACCTGTTCAGACTTCACAGCCAGCGTACCCGAGTCTCCCAGCACCCGAACCCGCACAAGAGGACGATGACGATGACGACTGGATCTCGCCGGTTCGGACAGCAGCAGTTGCACCCAAGGTCGCCAGGCCTGCTTTTAACAAGAGCCATACTGCTGACGTCCAGGTGTCTCCAGCTAGGCATGTGCCGCCGAAGCTCACTTCAGTCTCAAATCCGGATCTCACAGCAGTTGCTGAATCAACCACGCCGGTTGGCTCTCCGACTAGTAAGAAATACATGGATGGCCCCCTCAGTGCTTCGAAATCTAAACTGTATTCAGCATTCCGCGCAGCGAAAGAGAAGCTCATCGGATCGAGTGCTACCAGCGCTCAGGTGAAGATGGATGCACTCAAGGAGAGCCCTGCTAGGCCCAAGTTCCCCTCTTCAGATCCATCAGAAGATGCCTTAAGCAGCCCCAAGCGCACAGAGAGACCGGCTACCATCTTCACTCATATGCGCTCACCTTCCAAGGACTCCATCAAGTCCGGTAAGAGTGCTACCATGCCCGGTAGCCCACTCAAGGGAGACGGTCGACGGACTCGCAGCTCCACTGAACGCGAGAAGCAGAAGGAGAAGGACGCGAGAGAGAAGGAAATGAGAGAGACCAAGCAACAACAGCGTGCTGAGGACAAGCTCAGGCAGATGCGCGAGAAGGAACAAAGCAAGGCTGCTGCACATGCCCAGAAGGCCAGAGCCATGGGCGCAAAGACACCGACCGCTATGTCGTCGCAATCAAGTCTTAGGCAACCCACTGCATCGGCTGCGAGTAAGACACCAGCGCAGGCAGCACCGCAACAGCCCGTGTCTCGACCTGGCATCCCTCGATCAAACACTGCTTCCTCCAGGGAGCAAGACGTGGACTCCGGCGACGAAATGCCACCCCCACCACCTCCAAAGAGCCTGTTGCCTACCACTAAGACTACAAAGGCACCTCTTCGGGAGCCTAGGAAACTTGCCAAACCAACAAGCAAGGACGCTATTACAAAGGCAAAGGCACCCCAGAAGATTATGGTCAACCTCAAGAGCAGCCAGTACGGACAGGCACCTCCCCCTGCTCCTCGTCCGGCACCTTCGTCTAGCAAACCTCTCCCGTCAGCTCCTCAGAACTTGGGGAAATCTGTAGGACCGTCATCAAGGCCTCCTACAGCCGCAGCGAACCGCCCAGCGTCAGCCTTGTCTACCAAATCTGCACCCGGAACCAAGTCTGCAAGGCCGATCTCTAAGCCTCCCGCGCCTCAAGCCGCCCGCCCGCAATCTGTGGTTGAAAATCCCAAGGCTTCAACGTCTCAACCACCGCGCGCTGATCTTGGAGCTGCCCGACCTATATCTCGCCTGCAGACGGTGCAGGACGCGAACCGTATCAACATTCCTCCTGTTAACCCTGCAAAGCCTCCTCCCAAGCGACAGTTCCCAGGCGAGAGCGACGAGACCCTGCATCGCCCGGCCAAACGACCTTCGCAACAGGCGAAGAACCTCAACCCGACTACTCCGGCACATGCTCAATTTGCAAAGGGCAAGATTCCGTTCGCGGAGTCCGCATACCAACCCCAATCCCAGGCACCCACGATACAGTACCCCAACGGAGATGACATCAAGCTACCTGAGATCATGACCGACTCGGAAGACGAAGACTCCGAGAACGAGTTCGAGCAGCCCAGCTGGGTTAACACCCCCAACCTCCGC